CCACAATGCGCCTTCCTGATACTACCTAATTAATTCGGCACCCGAACTTTCCGTACAAAGGAATGATCCCGTGGTTTAGTCTCGTGCGGCAAATCATGAGACTTGAGCTTAACGCTAGGTAGGCTGGTCCTTCTAGTCAATACTGTGAATACCTCTAAGGATCGTGTGAGCTCACTTGTGTGACCATTGACACTTAGGCGATCGTATTATGATACTCAAGGCGGGGGGTAAAGACTGTTCAGTTCGATCGAAAAACCGACCGGGCTTAAATTTTGTTTGCCATTTTCACTGTCAGTTATTCGGTCGTCGACTTTTCACTCGTTGTTTCGTGGAGTTATCTTCGTCGATCATGTGCACACTTTCATCCACTACAAGGTTTAAAGTGGATTATTTGGTTCCCGAACACGCCTAAAAACTTCATGACACCATTATCCGTAATTTTTTTTGGGGGGGAGGGGGAAGAAGCTTTCTTTGTCAGTGAAAATTTGTTTGGAGATGATTGGCAGTGAATACGCTCTGGTCAAACCTGTCATCTCCTGGGACTGGTTCTGGAACGTAGTATCGATCACTAAATGACTGCCGGTTGTGCCGTATCTGCAACCTGATCCCCCTAGATTTTGGAACCTTATAAAGGCACCTTTTCTTTCAGCAGCTGCATCAGCAAACTAGCCTTTTCTTTCCCACCGCGAGTTTGCCGAAGCATCAAGAGCAGTTTTATACACCTATTTGATAAGCTGACAAGCCTAGTTATCTCACTGTAAGACACACAAGTTTACTGCCAGATGCAATCAGGCAGCCCTCGGTGGCCATGGTAGAAGCCGACTGGGTTGTTTTCAATGGCCTGCTTATGGGTATTATCATAAGCTATTTCCGCCAGGTAGCGTTCCTAACTGTCATTCACCTTATAAAAACACTTTGTACTCATAGCCGAATGATCTGGATCTTGGCCTAACAACAAAAAGATAACCGAACACCAGGGTAACCGTAACGTTCCTTTGACCTCGAACGTAAACCAATGACAGTTTGCCACTAGGTCATCACGGATCTAGTTGCCCTGGGACCAAATTCAAGGCTAGTGCCCTAAAAATCCAAGCGGATTTTGTTCATTTCAACACTCTACGGAAATCACGGAGCGTAGCCTCTTTAAAGACTACTGCGGCAGATGTATTCACTAGTTAAGCGCTCTACGCATGTTTCGTCATACAACAGATGTGACCCCAACGAGCATGCTGCTTCGGTGTGGATGCGCCGCGTTTTTGTTCCAGTTCATTCTGCTATCTCATTGTCTCATGCTTCAGGGAACATATCCACCTCATCTTTGACTAAACAGATCGAATGTATCCTGTGTTTCTACAAATACACTCGTTTGTATACCAATTCAGTTCTCACGGGAGATTCATCTGAATCCCAGCTGTTGCTCAGCTGTAACACCCCTCCGGTGCCTAACTTCCATGCTACCCGAAGGAAGCACGAGGCCGGAGATGCTGCCAGATTGTCCAAGACTAGACAGGTGAATTCGATAGGCATAGGTCGGGTTCGAACCACGACCTTCCGGTTGGTAACTTCGCGCTATAACCACTTGAGCCATCCCAGCTGATTCTCCCATGATAGTTCTTTTTAACGGAATGCGCTGCACCAGGCCAGCTTATGTTACAGTTGGTGTGATATTCGAGTGCTGCAGTGCATTGTATAGACGTAGCGCACTACTCACAAGGCTGATCAAAACTCTTCAACAGCCCATGACCGGTGTTTGTTTTGGTGGCCGGTTTCCTGGAGAGTCCTAACGTCAGTCCTGGCTAGCCCATTTGTGCTGGTCATGAGTTGCTATTACCACATACTGAGCGAGGTTTCAAGGTTGTTTATCACCCTTTTGTTCGCACTCGATGTAAGACACACGTGAGAACCAATCAAATGATCATACTCTTTATAAGGAGAACGCCTTCCAAAATATACAAAATCGGTCGATTTAGGGGTTAGGGGAGCAGGCACTCAGTGAGTTTATAAGGAGAACGCCTTCCAAAATATACAAAATCGGTCGATTTAGGGGTTAGGGGAGCAGGCTTTCTACTCAGTGAGTTTTTTTTATAGAATTTGCAGATTTCTGTTGGAAGAATCCTATTCAGAGAGGTGTTCGCTCCAGGAAGGAGTACCGTACAACCAGTTTCGTTTGGTTAATGCGGTTTGTTTACTCCGATCTCGCTTAGCGTAGACTTATACCAATTCATTTTATTTTCTGTCCATCTGCTCTATTAGACACCCCGATGCGCCAGACTAGGTTGATGCATTATCCTGCTCCCTTCTCTGTTATACTAACGAACCTCCTTGAGACGACCGCTTCATGTCACCCTATATGGCACTTATGACACCCCCGTCCTGGCAGTTGCCTCCTGTGAACCTATACGTACAGTATGGTTGTATTTGTGGGATGGGAATGCTGTGTTTAAATAATTCGACCAAACATCGCTTCTTCATCTCTGGGGGAAAGAAAGAGTTTGTTTTGACTTTTCTTTGGGTGCCTTCTGGAGGATTTTGCTTTAAATCTCATCTCAGGGAGAACATTATTGTGTTTTCCCTACAAATGTACACCTATCCGGAATGAGGTTGAGGGGTTAGTGGACTAGGCAGCTATCCAAGGGCGACGTTTCTCTTAGATTATGCCTTATGTGCGAAGTCCTGGCCCTCCTGGGCTGCGCAAACAAAATACCTGTCCTGAAGGTGATCAGGAAAAGTTTGTTTCACTACATTGAAACGCTGCCNTGAGGTGAGGTTGAGGGGTTAGTGGACTAGGCAGCTATCCAAGGGCGACGTTTCTCTTAGATTATGCCTTATGTGCGAAGTCCTGGCCCTCCTGGGCTGCGCAAACAAAATACCTGTCCTGAAGGTGATCAGGAAAAGTTTGTTTCACTACATTGAAACGCTGCCATTTGTTGTTGCCAAACAATGACAATACAATCATGTCTATTTTTAAACCGGTCATTTAACCAGATATTTGTTCTGAAAACCTCTTCACTTTTTTATTCTTGTTTTTGAGAACAGTGTTATAGTCAGACATCAACGAGGTACGGGTATTTAACAACATTGTCACTGCTGTTGTTAATTTTACCGTCTTAATTACTCCCGCATGCAAAGTACAAATGTCCACAAACTCTTTCATTCTTGGCGCGCGCAAAAACGCACGTCCAAATTCCCTTCACTAACAATCGCCCTCCCCCCTCATTAGGCATTTTGCTTTCATCATTCTTCTATGAATGATCCTTTTGTCGAAAATGTCAATCCTGTTTGACCGCTTTTCTCCATATTCGGGTCACATTAAGTTTGGGGATGTCCCGACAATCCCATCCTTTTTGCACATGTTCTGGCCTTCCCAGTCATTTGCCTTCCTATTATCCGTAATCGGACAATTTATCTTTCACCTTAGCCATTTCTGTCACAAACTCTTATTCCTCTGTTACCCGCTCTTCCCCATTTTCCCTTTGTCCTCGACCAATTTGCTTTCCAGATACACACACATACTGTTCGCTTGTAACTCGATAATCCTCCTTTTCTGAAGTCTTTCCTCAATGTTGGGAGGCAGATTTGTGTATGAAAAAATCGCTTGCGTGTGTGTCCATGCTCGATACACCTACGTACGCGTTTCACTCTGGCCGGACTCCCGCACAAAATGCATCTGGCCTACTCGTACTGTCACGCACACACACGTACGTGAAAGTTCATCCATCGAATGGGGTTCTATTCGAAAACTGTTTCACGGATTACGCTCTTTCATACCTTGGTTGTCGATCACCCCTCTTCAATGCAATGAACTCGTCATGCGTGCGGTGCATCCACCTGTGTTTATGCAATTTCTTTTTTAGTTTCACGACTATCCGGTTTCGAGCACTTAATCACTGTAATGTCGCGATAGTGTATCGCGGTTAGAATGTTCCATTTATCAGGCGTAGGATTGTTAGCCAATCTGTGGCGGATTCATATCACCTTGTCATGCCAGAAATCCCCTCCAAGTAGGATTCAGTGTAGACTGTGGATATGCCTAGAACGTTCACACCGGTAAATCCACAATTGGTTGATTTATTTTGGAGAATTCCTAAGCTTGACTGCTCTTATTCGAGTCGTCACTTTACATTGTGACCTAATGGGTGGGAATATCCGCACGCTTTTAGTGATATTGATTAATGCTGCCCTGTTATAAGTACGGCCTGTTTGACTGACCGTCTCTACTTTGATTTATTTCGCGGATTCTTCAGCTCAGCTCCTTCAGGTAGATTTGTGGCAGTTTACCCAATGTTTGACTACTCAGGGTGCCCAAGGTACCCCGCATTGAAAATTTACAGACGATGACCACCAAACATATCGCAACCGCTGAATGGTATTTTACCCTTTATATAGCTTGATAAGAGAGACTTCTGTGACTGCCTTTTCCACTTGCCTTAAAACTTGGCAACATCGTTGCCTACTTGGCCCAACAAAGCCTTCATTTCGAAACGTGCCCTATTAATACGTTCTCCAATTGCCTTACAAACTCTTTTTGGCACCTCGGCAACTGCTACAAGCATTATTTGTCACACGTTGGATTTGGGTTTCGTTTTTTTGTTCTGGCCATCGCACCCGAACGTCTTGTTTACAAATCACTAGTTAGTGACTTATTACCTCGTTACCTCCAATGGAACTCACACGCGCACATTTTTAACAACAACTTGAGTCCAAGGAACATCGACAACGTTTTGGAAGACCGATATCTCGGAGTCTTGCCGTGAATTATGCGCTTCACTTAATCGCTGTGACTACTTCATGCTTCCTTTCGTCCTATGGAGCACTGTCACCTTATGCAACGTTTTCACAACTATTCGACCTCTTTAAATGATTGCTATTTTTTATCGCATTTTTCAGCAATGAATATTTCTTGCTGGAATTTCCGTTCCATTACTAAACTGTATTCACTTGACATTTGACTATCCAGTCACCTCATACCATCGTTTTCTTATCTCCGTGTTCTTTTTTAGCGATCTAGCCGTGGTTTACTTCTGGACGTTGCGTCAGACATGCTCTGCCTCTCCACTCGCAGCCAGGTGTATGCAATGGAAGTGGTCCTTTCTCCACACGTCGATGAAGAATCCACTGTCGCTGAATTCAATCGAGATACGAAGGTATAACCTGTTTTTCCCTTACCCCCGCGCATTCTTTTGGTTGTGATTTGCTTGCCCGCAGTTATTCCGTTTTTCCTCGTTATCCTGCTCTCTGAGCAGCGCAACATTCTTCAGGTTTGGTTCGTTGAACAGGCGCTCGCTTTGATGTTGGGACTTGGCACCCTTTTACTTGGTTCGCTTCTTTCTCCAAGCGAACCGAGGTGTGAGATCTCTGTAGCTTGTTCAGGCGAAGTTTTTCCATATCTGGCAGTCCGCTGACACTTAGGAGATGGTGGAAACCATGTGGGCCCCACTTCATAAATCGACATGTTTTTCGCTTTCCGTATAACGATGCAGGTGGGTAAGCACACTGTTTTCTATTACTTTACCCGTTCCATCAGGCAGTTTATTCAATTGGTCTAATTTTGCTCATCGAGATGTAATTGGGATAACGGATTGACTGGACTACAGCGATCGATACTACCTGGAATCTTATAGCGAACGATAATATGAAGCAGGCGGAAAACAGACGCTGTCTTACGTGATCGAAGATACCTGATGTGATCTGAGTGTACTGGCGATGTTCCACCAACCAGTTTCACTCTCTTACTGCGGATGTCCAAAGCTGCTACGATTGACTGCTAGCTATTCCCATTTTTGTCATCGGCTCTGCTGAAACGGTGGGTGCAAGTTCCCAGCTGTCCGACTATCACTCATTTAGACACGCCAGTTGCGAGTGATTTGAGCATGACTTATGGCCATCGGATTGCCGCAGCCTATAGCGAATCATGGTCACCACCTTCCCGCTGTTGCTCTCAGTCGCATACCTGATACAATCTCAGCATGTTACCTGTCTCTTTACCCCTAGTGCTATTCTAAGGTGGCTGGTTCCTTCAGCCTCCCCTTCAATTATCGAGGAATGGGATGATGTCCCGATATTAGGACCTTTCCTTTTACGGACAGCGCATGTCTAGACAGACTACGGTTTGCTCGCAAGCTGCTTTCCCACCACTGATCACAGCTTGTTGGTGAAGACTGTGCACGCGATAAATATGTCGTTGCTCTCTTTGATGACGGAACTACTGATTTTCTGTTGACGTGTTTGTTTGGTCTTCGATTGCAAGACTCGTGGAATCGTGACCAGTTTCTCGATTTGGAATTCTCAGAATCCGTAGAACGTGATTGGTACCCTTGCAGAGCAATGCGCTGAGTCGGAGGCAGGCTTTCATCTTTAGTTCCACCTGTGGTCATCTTTACCCTGTAGTTACGGCGAACTTCTTCATCTCGTACATGAACCCCCCCCCTATACATTCCCTGTTTGTGTTATTGTGCATTGCTTCATCCTTAGTGTTATTTAATTGCCAGGTGCCAGTGGGAAAGAGAGGGCTTATTCAGGGAATACATGGTTGTGGACATCGAATCTAATGACGATACTCCACGAGCACCGTCCCCTAATTAGGATGTGTAATTTTTCTCAGTCTCTTCCTGGAATAATATCAATTTTCCTACAATCTTGTTGTTTTCCTCCACTACACTACCGTATTCCTAGATGACCATGTGCTTGACTCGCGAACAGTTGCGTATCCATCGCGAAGACTGGTCGTTATTACGGTTTTCTGATTGCTTAAGTTGTGTAACTCTGCTGTCTCTACACCGAATCGGTTGAATAAACTTGGTTTCAGCTGATGCAGTAGGTGCTGGCACCTAGGACCTAGCAAGTACCTGATCAAGTTTGCCATCTCATAACTCCTCAAATCCGATTTGGATCAAAAGTCCTTACTTGGTAGTGTCACCCATAGTTTCCCTCTCAAAAATGTAAGTGTTGAGTGAACTAAGTTCCCTATGGTTTCTTGAAACATTACCGACTCTGGTTGGACAGTTCGAAGTCTAGCGAGTATACACTCATTTGCAAACTAATTTGTTTTTTCGAGAGACTCATCTGGAACCCAGCTGAATCTCTCATTTGTGATGTTTTCAGGCAACTGAATGTGCTGCACCAGGCCACCTCATGTTTCAGTAACTACGATATTCGAGATATCGCGTTACATGTATATCTTTGTAATGTACTACTCATAAGGTTGCTGAAAGTCCGTCGACAACCCACGACCGGTTTCGCCCTTTTTGGGGCTCATCAGGTAGGCGCAGTCCCCAGGTTTCCGTCAACCTTATGTTCTACCTGAAACCAAATTGCACGAAATTAGCGAATATACACTCATTTGCAAACTACTTGGTTTTTCGAGAGACTCACCCGGAACCCAGCTGAATCTCTCGTTTGTGATGTTTTCAGTTCGAAGTCTAACACAATGTAACGAGGTACTCTATTTCCACCATGGCCTCAAAAAAGCAAGCGGGTTCGCTTGCTTAGTGGTCCGGATAACAAACCATATTTCTCATTCAACTGTTGTACACAACTATACAGTCATATTAGAGTTGGGGCCGTTGCAACCAGAGTTTAGGATAAGTCCATCTTTTATTGAAACCCTACCGGTACAAAAATACTTGGTCCGGTTTAATGCATAGCATCTCTTCTAGGCGGAATTCAAAGCACATGTGCATGGTGAATTATCCGTAAACAGAATGAAGCAAATAGTGACCGACCGCTAATGGGCTCTCATAAGAAACAAACGATACAAGTAAGGAATAGGCCGAAACGCACACAGAGTGAAAGAGTATAGCACCAAACGCTGGTCGGAAGGTTAAGCAGAACTAGGCTGATGATACAAGTCGGGAACCAATGGCTGGTTTTTCGCTCTGATCGGTACAAGTTCTTGGAATAGGAGCCAAGTTGTCAAAGATTAGCCAGCCGGAGCTTGCGCGGTAGGGGCGATAAGGACAGTCGGCGTAAGGTAGACGACAGAATATTGATGCAGTTGAGAACAACTCACTGCTTGTTCGACGTAACGTTACGATATTCATGTGATCACTCAGGACCAGTAAACCTTGTACATGTATGTGTTTTGTCACCGGTGCTATGGGAACCCCCTCTGGACCTTGGTTTACCTAATATCCACTAAATATCATCTCATGTGTCATATTCAAGCGCTTTTCCTATATGGGTGCACTTTATTCTTTAAAGTCGTACTCGCTGGTTACGTCACGACCGCGTTTGATGAAGTCCAAGCCTCTGTGAGTTGTTTTGACTATCTTCTCCTTGTAGCAATCGGACTGGAGGTTTTGCGAGTAGACATCCGTTGTATCTTTTTTTAACTCTTGGTGGATTATCGTACCAACTTTTGTGTCGCAGTTCATTCGACCTTGATTTCAATCAAATATTCTAGCAGCACTCATACAGTGTTCCCTCGTTCAAAGAAACACTATTCTGGAGTAAGTAAACTGCTTGTTTGATGATTAGACCCGAAATGACGTTATAGTCTAACGGAATGGAAAAAATGTTTCGTAACCAGGGTGAGGTTAAAGTTGGATCTAGTATCAAGTGAATGCCTGGTCAACAGTCCATTATGGAGCGATGCAAGATCACTCAAGTTATTCGTCAAGTTGATCCTATCATCTAGTTTTTGGGGAAGAATCATTTCCTTTGGTAAACCATCTTCATCTAGGCACATGAGTTCTCATCCTGATTTATTGGCATGTTCTTTCTTTTTGTACTGTGTGCCATGTCTAATCCCATGACTAATAACGCATATAACTTGCAAACTTTTTTAATTGCTCTGTCCAGTTCTTTACACATAACCCTTATCTCGATGGACAACTAACAACTACATGGAGCAGCCACCAGTGAAAGTAATCTACTGACATTTCTCGGACTGGATAATGAGCTGTTGTCACTCATGAACCGTGCACTTCTTTATATCGTTTGAGAGAGGGATGTCTCATGAGTGTGACGTAATCCCCTTTACCTAGTCTGGCAAGCTAAGCGAGATCGAGTTCACTGTTGGAATTCTCAGTCACTCGCGTGTTGGTTGTGTTCCTACTTTAGTATTATACTTTAGGCATAATGTGTATCCTGCTAGATTATTGGTAGATTTAGCTGGGATAGGGGATCAGTATCACCAAAACCTCGGTCGTAGATTTACTCCATTCAGGGAACAAAATGAGGGAGTGATGTGTTACCGGAGTGGGGGAAACTTGAAAACTGACAAAGCCCTCTCGTTTCTCATTGCTTTTTAAATCTGTTGACAGCATATCGAATGCGGCCAGCGAAACGGTTCGTGAATACTACTGCAACACAAGATACTTAACTAGTATCTCATCCGTTGCATCAGGCTACATCTTCCTGTTTACAATCATCACTGAGATAGAGTTGGGCATGGTTTGTCGTGAGAATACTGAACTGGACAAATGCAACAAGATCTTGCCACGGATCGGAGAGAAGGCCTTTAGAATACTGAACAGAAGCGGCTGACAGCGGAAAATTTATGAGCCAATGACTGACTTTTTAGGATTAATTGGCTAGATATTACATTCAGCTGCGCCTTTGATTGAAAAGTTGGGCCTCTGGTGAAGCACTTTGATAGAGCACTCGGAGACAACCCCCAGTTGCATACGCTGAGTGTGTCACGATCATGACATCTGCTTCAGAATGAAACTGTCCCTTCATCCTGTAAGAATGACCGTCTGTCTGTCCCAGAAACATTCAGTACAAGCGTTTTTCAGTTACTGGTTTCCTGCATCAGATACCTTTTGTTTTTCTTCGAATGCTTGTTCGACTAACCGCATGAAAACCGAGTGCTTCTTGGGAGTTTCATCCGTATTCCTATCCTATCATCAGCTGATCTTACGTGCTGCATGGCCTTACTTGTCGAGCAAGTCTCCTTTTCAAGTGTTCTGCTAACGTAGCGACGCCTGGCATGTTGATCGACTCCCGTAGGCTCATCTGTGTACGACCATAACTGACGGACTCGCCTCTCGTTCCTGTCTTGGTCGACCTTACGTTATGATTGCATGCACACGTATGTATTTGCGTGCTTGTTTGCCTACTCAGCTTATTCTCTCCAGGTGACTCACTGCCGCACTTCTTCCGTTCGCCTGACTTACTGCTTGATGTATTGACAAGGTATGCGCACCCGCTGCTCTTGTTACTTTTGCATTCAATGCCCAGAGGTCTCAGGTGATTTTATCTGCTGTAAGGTTGTTTGCCAACTCTCTTCCCAACACACAGTTTGTATGTCCATTTGTTCTTGACTACACATACATACGCTTATATGCGGGCACAATTTCCACACGTATGCCGTCGGTGTCCCCACGTGCCGTTCACTGGGTGAGTAGGATTGACGTCGTCGCCGTCGTCCTCGCGTTGTCGTTGCCGAAACCAGTGTGCATATGTATGGTAGAGGATGAGTCATCAGTTTAAGTCCTCTCTGCAAACGTGTTTATATGTCGTCTCCTCTGTTAGACTAACAATCTGACTTGAATGGACTTCTGAAATAGCAATGGGTGAAAATGAGGTCAACGTTGCCAATAAACTGGGCATATTCTGCTGTCTGCTGGCAGACTGAAAGATATACGTGTTTATAGGATGAAGTTAAGTCAACAAGCGCAACCAGTAGTTGCCATCTCACCATCTCTCCACCTGATTGTATGATTCTGTTCCACGTAATCCCTTTTTTTCAGATACCGACATTTGGTTGGTGCATCGATCTTTGAACCGCTAAAGCAGTATTAGATATAGATAGATGTTATTTGCTATCTTGTTTTGGTAGACGTGTCCGGTGCGCTACACGGTCGATTGTTTCCCTAGGGAAGGCCATCTCTTCAACGTACAGTTTCTGTGTGGTCGAGTGTTGGTGGACAACACTGGCTGGTTCAGTCATGCTGAAGTGGATGAAAAGAATAATCGGTCTGTAGATGAAACCTACTGTCATTCGCGATATGTGTATAGAGGTACTGAAACGTTTCCTTCACGCGGCCAGCACTTCTATGTCCATGGGAGCGGTGGCTACTGCCCCTCTAAGCGGGGTGGGTTAGAAAAGGTTGGCCATGAAAGTCACACACTCCGATCGTCCGATGGCTAACCTTGATGAACTGCACCCTATTCAATATAGCCTAAATGCCTTCGGAAACAAAGAGCCTGGTACTGCACAAAAGCACTTGATATGCACAATAGCACTTGCTCCCTGGACCCTCGAGTTGAACAAACCCATTACAGTCGAATGCATCAGCCTGTCATGCCAGAGGCTTTGAGTGGTATTCCCAGAAAGCCTATACCTGCAGATTAAACTTTTGGATCAGAAATGACGAGCATACTTTCGGAACACCCTACCTTCCCCCAACGCCTTTTAGGTCCGCCTTTCTGGTTAAAGGCGCAAGGTGGGTTACTCCAGCCGAACCCAGATGAGTAGCTTCTGTCCATTCACCGGAGAAACAGCTGCTAGCTCCTTTTTCACCAGTCTCGTCTCATTACTACCTGTCCTTTTGCAACCATAAAGTCAATTACCCTCTGCCCATAAAAATGAAATCTAAACGTCCCACCACCGTCGAGGATTCTGTTCGAAAACCTGTTTGTCAGCTAGGTTGATTCGTTATCTTCACTCAGATTCGTTTCCCCTGAAAGACTGCTAGGTCTCCTAAATACTTACAGAACTCCAGAACAGTCAAGCATTCTCAAGTCTTTCTCTCCGAGTGTCGACTGACCAAGAACACGGCGCCCCGTGGTCTTAGCGGTGTGAGTATTCTGTTGAGTATGACAGATCAGGGACTGTTGCCGGTGGCAGGTGTACCGATGTCATTATCCTATCTGATGATTCGAACGTCCCAGTGGAAATAATCGGCAAACACGGAGACCGCCCTGGTAGCTGATTCGATGTAAATGCTCCCTGAACAGATGAGATAATCACAAGCGTAACGGTGAGCACCGTGCTGCCTGGCGCTCCCCCAAAGGTAATCAACCCAGCACTCTGATAAGTTGCGCTATCCATTGATGGCAATCGCTTTACAACGTGTTACCGCCTTTGGAACAGATGTACGTACTCGGATCATGCCTTGATTTGTGCCGGTTTCCCTGCCACTAAAAAGAAAGTCATCCAGTGGTATATCATCAAAGAAGTCTATCAGCAGCTGTCCACAAATGCATAACAAGCCGCCCAAAGAATGAAAACTTGTTTGAAATTCCAAGTGATATGAATTGCCTCCACGATTCTTATGTGCAAATAAACACCTGCTTGCAAGTTATGGTGTTATCGGAAGGCTCAGCTGAATCTAGCTTTTTTCGTATTCCTCAGTTTCACTCATGTTTCACTTAAAACGATCTTCCAGGTACCTGCTTATTCATTTTACTTGTTTTCCACACCCACCTTCCCTCATCCTACGCTATGCGTTGCCTTTAGGTTGCAGCGGTGCAAACTATCGTACATAGCCACGCAGCTCACTATTGTCAAAGTGAGCGGACATGAATAGCCCCAGTGTGGTTTATGTTGATCTGCTTCTTGCACCTTTTGTGCACTACTTTAATTTTTTTGTTGTATTTTTCCGCTTTCATTGATTCTAGTGAGGCTCAAAGTAGAACGTCAATTGTGCTTGCCTCACTATCAGTTAAACTCAAACATGCTCCGGTTTCCTCTCCACAGGGTTTGTCATTCCACTAAATTCAGCTCATGAAATGCCCTTCCCCCCATCAGGCTTCCCCACTCGGCCAGCTGCGTTGTCGCCAGGACTTTTTTATCTGTTGACGAACTTCAGCTTCTTTCAACCTAAGTAAAATCACATGACTGTTGTGTAAGCTCATGTCTTTGAAGCCCTTCCGAGCAGTTTGCCCACTTTGATGAAGCCTTTTTTATCCGGTGTCGTGCTGTGTGCTTGCTGTGCAGGTAGGTGCACTCTGATGGTTTGTCGTGTTTTTGGAACTCTGATCTCGTGAACTTCAGGGAAAGTCGCCTAACAAAACGACTTTTTCACCCTTTTTCCTGACATTAGGACCATTTTTAAGGTAGACATTGCAGACCCCGTCACCCTACTGAGTGTATGGTTTCACAAATTAATTTCTTACTTCATCCTTTAGTTTTAGGCCAGCCATGGTCCTCAGGAAAAGGAAGTGCTCGGTACTGCTGCACCTTATGTTGTCCCTTTGAAGCGTCTGTTCTACTGCAGCTTCACCTTATTTATAATTGATCTTTTCACCGCCAGCATCACCGCTTTTGAGCACTAACGCATGGCTTGTGTCCACAGCGAAATGTGCTTGTGGGCTTGTAAATACGGACTCACTATTGACTACGGTGTATCAAGATATCGGAAAATGTCTATAATGGTAATTAAGGTATCTGTCAGTCAGACCGATTGCAGCAGTCGCGCTTTTGTGTTCTATACGATGCACTAGTTGATCAACCGAATCTTTTTTCCATTGTGAGTTTCCTCCAGAAAAACGAATTCAACAGAGTTCCACTGACGGGGATCCATGTTTTGTTGTCCATTAATAAAAATGGCTTTGAGAATGATTCCCGATAGCTAGGACTGTTGGCAAAGATTGCGCGTCTTCAGCGCTAGATGTGATCCCGAACAGTCGCGTTTGCATTTGCAACCTTTTTCCACAGTATATGAATTCTGCGACTTTTATTCATCATTGGCCAATTCAATTGTTCCATCAGTTTTGCTTTTAAAAGCCTTTTCTTTCCATACTCGACGCGGCACTTACCGTACTTGTCTATAGTTGGCGTTCACCGATAACCGCGTCACCACATTTTGAATCACTCTCTCATTTATAGATTCTCACAGTAACGATGCCCGTGCGAACAGCTGAGGTCTGTTGAGCCACAAGAACCAGTTGTCTGCGTGGATGACCGACCACTCCTTTCACGAAGAGCGCGTGAAACATAAGGTGCTAATCGCAGAATTCCGTTTCTATGCCCATACATGAACGCAAGAAAAAACTTACCGAATCTGTTGTCGGATATTGTTCTGAAGCTGGGTCTAATGAAGTTTAAAGGTACTCCGTTGGCTTTCTCTCTTTTGCATGGTGGGTTCACTCATGTTACTAGTTAATTACTGTTGAGTTACCGCAAAACAGGCCAACAGGCATGTTATTACAGTTCCCTCAACAGCCCTAAAGGTAGGCTGGAATGCCTTGTGAAGGACTCCACAATTGGTTCTTTTAATTGGCTTGAATAAGAAAGCAACTTATCTAATTGCGTACTGGTACCTAGCAAAACAGTAAGTCAACGTAATGATACAAAATGCAGCTCACACTGGGAAATATGGTTGCTGGGTTAAATAAACCAAGATGACGATGAAACGTTTATGTCCTATATGAACGCGGGAGATCTAGACATCATGGGAATCGTTGCGCAATTCACAGTCCACCATTTGTGGTGCACTTTGCTTGGTTTGAATGCTAGCTGGTCGAATAAAACAACGTGTCGTAGTATCTCGGTTCTCTCAATGTAAGCGTTGTTAAGTGTGCGTGGACGGTAAGCGAGGAACTCAGTGACATCTGGGAATCGTAATGCAAACTAACTCTAAGGGCTTTCAGAAGTACTTCGGTACGCAATCAGCGTGGCACTCCATCACCCGTGAGTGTTACCCGAGATAAGTGACACAGGACGATGAAAATGGCTACGTCATTGAATTCAGTAATGCTTCTGGACCGTTTGGTGGATTCCTGGAAACTCAGAATTTTCTCTTTCGTGCTGTTTTGTGGTCGAAAATAGTTCGGTGGACAAACATCCCACGCGATCCACTCTTTGATAGGATTGGTGCGTACTGGCCCAATGTAAGTCCGATATGAACGTATTCTGTAATGCTAAATAATGAAATATATCTTGTCAGCGTTCCCTGGATTCTATGGTTTTGGTTATATATGAAACGGTAGTCATCCAACCGAATTGCCTTCTCCGCTCATGCTGAGAAGAAACCGAACTTAAGTCCGTAGCTGACGGTACGCGTGCAATTCCCCTCCGCCATATAAGACGCAAATGAGCTCATTTTTAAATGCCTAATGAAGCCGAATTGGTGCTTTTTGAAATATAGTCCCTGCTGTTTAACCGAATGGAGTGCGGATTGCAGTGTAGTTCACTGCGCTAAAGGATTATTGAGACCTTTACAGACTGCGGGGCAGCTGATCACTCTTGTAATGGGTGGTTGGTTTTCGCGCCCGATAATGACTAACACCACCCTGTTTGGCATTCAAACATTCTGCTTAGTAATCGAAGAGCAAAATCTAGGACTAGGTAACGTGTGGTATGGCTGACGTTATAGCCGGCCGTGTACCCACAAATTTTTTTTCCGTTTCCTAAGCCATGTCATGTATCCTGAACTGATTGGAGCAGTTTTTATAGTATGCGCCATGAGTATCTGGGTATAGTGGCCGTAGGACCAGAAGCCCGAACGCAAATCACAAGGTGTAAACCGTATCGTAAGCTTTCTGATAATACGCAAAGTAGGTTATCCGTGGCAGTCTTTCAGGAGAGAAGCGCGTTGAAAACACTTACTCATTACGTTTGGTAGGCTTCGCACAGTTGATCACCATTCGGGTGTTTGGTTTCCAGTATTGCGGAACAAATTAGAGTGCTTGCGGACTAACCTGCAAGTTTGAAGCAATCTTTTGCATATGAACAACGTGTGGGCTGATTAACATGATGAGGGCCAGCAATCAACTTGGATGTCATCATTTGGGGCTTCAGCTCTGGTTGATGTTAGTTCACTATCAAACCCACTCATCCACTGGGGTATGCGTTCATCGCTTTGTTAACTCCACTCAGGTGTAGTCCCTGTCCGGTAGAAGATAATCGTGAGTAGTTATCGGTCGTGGTCTGTAGCGTAATTCGACAGCTTCAAGTAATGCTTGCCTGCTCGTTACTACGAACTCTGATTTTCTTCCACCACAATCAATACTACTCGCATGCACATAGGCCGTCAACAGCTGGGGTACCAATGTAAACCCGACTTAAACTGCCACTTTGTCGTGGGGGTCGGGCTTTAGTGTTGTAGTAATCCTGTCCAGTATTCGCTGAAACTGAGTTCCTTAAGGTTCAACCACACCATGAAGGCCAGTGGGAGCAGCCCGCCGAAGAACAGTGAGTACCCGAACTTCGAGAGATCATAATGCGAGGTAAAATCGTGTATCAAATATTAGTGTGAAGGCAGTAAGGTATTTTCTCCAGGTGACCAACATGTGCAAACTCACGGAAGCAGTGATGCTGTCTTCCGACGAAAGAGGCGTTAGAAAAGATTGGCCCAAAAACGGCACACTTCGATCGCCCAAAGGCTGACCGTGACCGCCGGTTCCTTATCCAGTACGGTTGAAGTACTTCTGAAACCGGAAAGTCTAGCGTTGTTTAAAAGGTACTACGCCACCGCATTAGGAGCGAAATTGTAATACCTTGCTCCCTGTGCCCTCGGGCTAGAACAGCCTCCTGTAGCCAGTTGGGTCATTATCAATTCATGGGATCCGGGTAGGGTCTCCTCAGAAAGCCCTAACAGCCGCCATCTCACTGCTCAGACTGAGTCAGAGGCTGTAAGTATAGTCCTCGAATAAAACCCCACGTCCTACCACAGCTTTGTATGTCAACCTTTTGAGTCAAAAGCTCAAGGTGGGCTACCTCATTCAAACTCCCTTCGACCTGGGTAATCGGGGTATTACTCACCATTACAGCTCCCCATTCACTGACTGCTCCCAACACTTTTCTCATCCAGGTCCTTGAGATTCATTTAACTGTCCATTGCCCAGTCGTTGCCTAATACCTAAGCTTGTGTCCAGTAAAGTTAACAGAAATATTCCCCCATTAAATCCACGATTTCTGGTCCACGTTGTGGTTTTCGATTATTCGTGGACATATGGAAGGGCGTCGCAACTAATGTTTGATCCTGTACTTCACACTTACTTCCCCCCCCCTGGAAGCTCAATGTAACTTTTCTGCGCTAAACAAAATGTACCTTCAAATTGATGTCACTGGGGCCTACAAAGGCGCTTCTAGTAAATGCTGCTACCAATCCTCTTCATCGTTCTGCCTGACAGCCCTTCTCCACATCAGGTAACTCGGTAACGAGACGCCAAACCGACGCGCTGTGAAGCAAAATACAGCTACCAGGATTATGTAGTATGGAAGCCACACTTATCCTCAGACCAGCTGAGCATGGTTACACCAAATCTTTGTCAAGCTATTCCGTTGGCTAGTTCGATGGTTCTATGGTGTTATACTTGAATATCTGTCACCTCAAACGCTCTCTTTCCTATGTATTTTTTCGACCGTAGGCCCACCCGCTCAGCTCAGTGGCGGACCTAGCCAAGCGTTCTGACAACTAGGTTATGACGCTAAGTAGCTAGCTTGTTTTATTGTCCTGCAAGGATTTGACTTGAGACTCAGGCTGGAAAGACTCCATAAAGCGTACACTAGAACCGTTTCGGGCGCTACAACCACGATTTAAAAGTGCATGCTATCTGACGTGAAAAGTCGTGTTCGGCCGTCAACGTACGTTCAAAGTGCGGTAGGTAGACCTTCAAAACTATGGTCGAACGTGCAACGCACCTCGATACCAGTGACCAACTGCCTACGCACAACGCTGATATACACGACTTCGCCGGCATGAGACATGGCACAAGTTACGATTACTGCTGCTTGTGAGATCAGTTAGTCATAAAATACTGAAGGCTAGGCAACCGTGCCTAACCGTTCTACTGGGAGAGTCACGATAATTTGACACAATGTTAATCATACTGACCGATGTTAGATAATGGCGATCAGATAGTCAGTGCTGCCCTAGACGGCGTTGCGCATTTAGTTTGTTATTCAGCAAGTACCAGTAAACATGAATGACTAAATCTCCACACCAATTATCATTACCAGTTGGGCTTACTTTTCACAAAGTGGGTTTGGACGGTAGTTATTTTCACGGAAATTCCAAGGTATTGCGTTTCTTCTGGATTCCTAAAAATGGTTATTTGTAAAGTGAGGACTATCTGTGGGAGGTTGGCTCAAGCGCTGCTTTTCCAGCATTTACCTGGTTTCCACGCTCTGTTTTAAAAGTAGCTGGTATAGGCGAACCAAGCAGTTCACGAACATTTTTCTCTCCATTGCTGTTATTAGCGGATGATTGTCATTGATACGAATTGTTACTCATTCATCGCGACGTCAAAGCCTCACGTAACAAGCCCTTAACTAAATAGTAGACCAAATGAGTGAGTAGTTTCCTTTATGAAAGTATACTGCGATATCTGATTTGCAAGTGAGTGTATTAATTAATTAATTAATTATTTCACTCATTTGCAAATCAATCTGGTTTTCACGAGAGACTCAAATGATTTTGCGAATGAGTGTGCTTTTCGAAAACAGTCCAATTTGGGTTCAAGTAGAAAATAAGGTTGACGAAAACTCGGGAACTGCGCCTACCTGATGACCCCCAAGAAGGACGAAACCGGTCGTGGGCTGTCAAACAGTTTTCAGCAACCTTGTGGGTAGTTTCCTTTATGTAAACAGTGGACCGTTTTCTTAAAGCTGAATAGGTTTACACCACACACCCAAAAGTCATAAACAACGCAAATTTCTGTGTCAAGTTCTCATGACCACACGTTGCATCGAGTTCAAAACTTCATTGTGCGGGAGCCAAATCGCCACCTGGTGGAAACCTTCAGCTGCACTGGTGAACCTGATTCACACCGTTTAACCGTGCCGAAAGCGATCTCCTTCTCTGTATCCTAAACCTTTTGCCATGCTGGCTACATAGAGAATACGGCCAGCTTTATCTCGTTTCTTTGGCGCTGACCTAGACGGCACTGTTTTCATTGGCCAACTACCTAGGAGTGACTGAGTTATCAATAAATTGTCTGGGTGTGCTGAACGGGGGAATTTTGTCACGCGACGGGGGCCATTTACAGACCCTAGCTATCGTCCACAACCGCGGAAGCTGGATGTCTGATTGTTGTGGTTATTTCAACCATGGATACCTTTCAATAGTTCCTTATTTTTGGTTCTATGCAGAAATCTGTTAGTTGTTTGTTCGATCTTAAAGACAAACTTCGTTCTAATGGAAGGCAGTCAATTTAGCTACCCGATACCATAACTGACAAAAAATCACCGGCTGATATGAGAAAAATGCTCAGAACATAGTCTCCATTTGCGGTCGAGGATGATCGAGATGAACCACCTCGAGTGTTAATCCAACGGTCTATGTTGGGAACTTGCAGTTTAGAGTCATTCCCTCTCCTGGCTGAGACGTTTTCACTGAGTCGAAGGACAAAAACAAGTGTGCAGCGCGTGAACTAGGTTGACAGATATTCACTTGCTTATATGAGTGAGTTGGGTAAACCATGACTTCAAACCTTCTACGAAGGTGCACCGAGCGGCGACTGCACATTTCTTGATGGATTCTTGAAACCACTCGGACTTCGACTAAGCCAAATCCGGTCCGACTTGTATTCAAAAAGTACAGTAGCTATCCAGACTGACCGGCATCCCACCTAAAGAGCATCGGAAGTGTGTTCATGGTTGTCTAGTTCTACCTACACAGTAGGTATATGCCTCGCCGTATTTGGCTTCAGCCATGTATGCTCTCCGGAATTCAATCATAAAAATTGTCCAAAATACGCCAACTGATTTGCCGTTAAAAGCTCACGTATGTGCCACATTTGCAATTGACTGAGCAAGTAGTACCTAGGTTAGAGCATTTTTGATTCATTTCGAGATCCCCTCATCTAGTGCTTACAGATTATACAATCGGAACCCCGTGGATTTCCGGGTCCGACATTTCCTTACCCTGGCTCGACCTGTCTGAAGGTTATTTCGAAGTTGCACAGCAGCAACCAGATGTCACGTGTTTACGAGAGCTCATCGATCGAATTACGTGCATAGAAAAGGGCAGTTGCTTATTAAAATCCCGTCCTCACTCACCCGCTCTCGGATGTAAAAACCATTACAGTCATTCGGTGGTGCAGGACATTTGTAAGTTGTGTACCCCACGTGAACAAGTCCAGCTTTTTCACTCTGGATGTCACCCTTAGAGGTTACGTTCAAGAACCGTCTCGAATCAATTATCCTCTGAAAGAGATCATTCAGGATGACAGCGATAATTTCTCGGTAATACGGCTAGACGACGCACGGTGGGACATTTAGTGGCGAATCGACACCCATACCAGCGTCTGATAAACGATCAACTGCCAGTGTTTCGGATATGTTTCAGGTTTGTTCGCATAGTCTTTTCCAGTATGCACACTTCCTTATATCATACAAAACGGCATTTAAAAAGAAAAGTGACGGTGGATATTGTGAGAGCAACGTCCAGAGTCGCTAATCAAAGACAAGGAAGATGGACCAACAGACAAGCGGAATTCACAGCTTGCTTCGGTGATATGCACGAATATTGTCAAAGCACAATGGTGGTGAACATGGAAATTGTGTGACGGCTCGCAACTCAGTTCAAAACTTCATTGTGCGGGAGCCAAATCGCCACCTGGTGGAAACCTTCAGCTGCACTGGTGAACCTGATTCACACCGTTTAACCGTGCCGAAAGCGATCTCCTTCTCTGTATCCTAAACCTTTTGCCATGCTGGCTACATAGAGAATACGGCCAGCTTTATCTCGTTTCTTTGGCGCTGACCTAGACGGCACTGTTTTCATTGGCCAACTACCTAGGAGTGACTGAGTTATCAATAAATTGTCTGGGTGTGCTGAACGGGGGAATTTTGTCACGCGACGGGGGCCATTTACAGACCCTAGCTATCGTCCACAACCGCGGAAGCTGGATGTCTGATTGTTGTGGTTATTTCAACCATGGATACCTTTCAATAGTTCCTTATTTTTGGTTCTATGCAGAAATCTGTTAGTTGTTTGTTCGATCTTAAAGACAAACTTCGTTCTAATGGAAGGCAGTCAATTTAGCTACCCGATACCATAACTGACAAAAAATCACCGGCTGATATGAGAAAAATGCTCAGAACATAGTCTCCATTTGCGGTCGAGGATGATCGAGATGAACCACCTCGAGTGTTAATCCAACGGTCTATGTTGGGAACTTGCAGTTTAGAGTCATTCCCTCTCCTGGCTGAGACGTTTTCACTGAGTCGAAGGACAAAAACAAGTGTGCAGCTCGTAAACTAGGTTGACAGATATTCACTTGCTTATATGAGTGAGTTGGGTAAACCATGACTTCAAACCTTCTACGAAGGTGCACCGAGCGGCGACTGCACATTTCTTGATGGATTCTTGAAACCACTCGGACTTCGACTAAGCCAAATCCGGTCCGACTTGTATTCAAAAAGTACAGTAGCTATCCAGACTGACCGGCATCCCACCTAAAGAGCATCGGAAGTGTGTTCATGGTTGTCTAGTTCTACCTACACAGTAGGTATATGCCTCGCCGTATTTGGCTTCAGCCATGTATGCTCTCCGGAATTCAATCATAAAAATTGTCCAAAATACGCCAACTGATTTGCCGTTAAAAGCTCACGTATGTGCCACATTTGCAATTGACTGAGCAAGTAGTACCTAGGTTAGAGCATTTTTGATTCATTTCGAGATCCCCTCATCTAGTGCTTACAGATTATACAATCGGAACCCCGTGGATTTCCGGGTCCGACATTTCCTTACCCTGGCTCGACCTGTCTGAAGGTTATTTCGAAGTTGCACAGCAGCAACCAGATGTCACGTGTTTACGAGAGCTCATCGATCGAATTACGTGCATAGAAAAGGGCAGTTGCTTATTAAAATCCCGTCCTCACTCACCCGCTCTCGGATGTAAAAACCATTACAGTCATTCGGTGGTGCAGGACATTTGTAAGTTGTGTACCCCACGTGAACAAGTCCAGCTTTTTCACTCTGGATGTCACCCTTAGAGGTTACGTTCAAGAACCGTCTCGAATCAATTATCCTCTGAAAGAGATCATTCAGGATGACAGCGATAATTTCTCGGTAATACGGCTAGACGACGCACGGTGGGACATTTAGTGGCGAATCGACACCCATACCAGCGTCTGATAAACGATCAACTGCCAGTGTTTCGGATATGTTTCAGGTTTGTTCGCATAGTCTTTTCCAGTATGCACACTTCCTTATATCATACAAAACGGCATTTAAAAAGAAAAGTGACGGTGGATATTGTGAGAGCAACGTCCAGAGTCGCTAATCAAAGACAAGGAAGATGGACCAACAGACAAGCGGAATTCACAGCTTGCTTCGGTGATATGCACGAATATTGTCAAAGCACAATGGTGGTGAACATGGAAATTGTGTGACGGCTCGCAACTCAGTGGGAATGATGGATACCTGACACAGTCGTTTTAATCCTTCGAAAAGTAAAGTAAAAGCAGTATAGAAACGTACACAGCCAATCAGAATGAAAGAAAGAGAGTAGGGTGGGTTCAAACGGGTAGGTGGATTATGATGCTTAGTGGGAATGATGGATACCTGACACAGTCGTTTTAATCCTTCGAACTGAAAAGTAAAAGCAGTATAGAAACGTACACAGCCAATCAGAATGAAAGAAAGGGAGTAGGGTGGGTTCAAACGGGTAGGTGGATTGCGATATGATGCTTGTGTGGAAAACACACATATAGTAACTACAACTATTCGAATTGAGGTATCTAATACATTCATCTGCGAGTACATGCGGATTAATAACTTCGAACATTCCGTGACACAAAAAGGACGGTTGAAAATTTGATATGTTAGGGCTTTCACAGCCATTAGATGAGAAAAACGGACTGAGACTACAAAAAACGGTCATGGATAGCTCAGGACTAAAAACCCCAAAACCAAAACAGAGAGTTCTACAAAAAAGAAACGAGACTCGGCAGTAGAAACAGTGAACAAATGCATCACGATGTTTTTTCACAGTATGGATTGGAGGAGTCAACTATGACCGATGTAAAATCGGTTTCATGTTTCGGTACAAAACACTATTCAAGTTATGGTTAGACCGGTGATAAATACGACCGCTGGAAATGTGAGTTTATGAGTTCTGCAGGCGTGGGAGTGAGATCAACTAGGCGGCTAGTTTCCTTTGAATTCAAGAAGACAGCCCGCCCCAAGAACAAACTGATGGTGGAAGGGTAACAAATGCGTCGTATTCCGAGTCTTGTGGATGACTGGGAATAAGGGTAGCTAAATATTCGTGTATCAAAGGTGATGGCATTTTGCTTCTTCGAAAAATCGATTACTTGGACGTCACGGATGGAAGCACAGTCTGAATTCCACGGGTGCATGTCTATGGAGAAAGTGTAATACGTGTAAATTTCATTTTGCACAACAGAAACCGATTGAGTGAAGTCTAAATTACGTAGGAGCAATACGACCTGGGGCTAGCTGTTCGTCTGATGCTTCTTCATGTGCAAGGTAAGATGGTCACTTCGAGCAAATGCTCTCTGGCAGAGACGACACTGGAAAGGACGATCACCAGTATGCTTTCGATAGTGCCGCGTGAGCTCATCGGATCGGGCAAAACGCCACGAACATCCGGGCCAATCACAGGGAAATGGCTTTTCTCCAGTGTGTACTCTCATGTGAGCTTTGAGATGTGAGCTCTTGGAATAAGCCTTAGCACATGTACTAAATGGGCATGTGTGCAAGAGAGCTAGGGACTTCTTGCTGCGACCAGAACCATCGGTTCCTTTGGTTCGCGTTGATTTCGAGCGTCTTGTTGTAAAAGGACCGGCAACCGACGATCCAGGTTTGGGCATGGATGATCGACATTGGGTTCTGGGTGGCTTGATAACGTTGATTTTATCTGCTGAAGTGACATCTGTACCGGTTGTAGAGCTGATGGACATGGGATGATAAGTAAAGTCATTGGAACCGTGAGCGATAGCTGGACCATGAGTGCTGGGATTTTGGGATTGAGAACGCGGAATCAAAGCCCGGAAAGCACTCTGTCCAACCTGACCAGCATTATCCAGGCCGTAAAGGCAACTAAGTGTAGGACTGTGTTTGTGGTTGACCAAAGATGATGTGGGCTGATGGCTTACGGGTGTTTGCTGCTGTTTGGTAACTGAATTCATGTGCGGGGAATTTACTGTGTCTGCCATGGTCAACGTGAAGGGAGATTCTTCAGCTGCAGGAAGGTAAGCAGAGGGGACGTAAATGGCATTGAAGTGGTTCTGTTGCTGCTGCAGTTGTTGATTCGCCGAAGTAAGCGCAACACGTGACGTGGGAGCATAGCGTGTGGATATGGACTGCACTTGTGTGTGCTGGACGCCAACGGTATAGGGTGACAACACGGTTGATGCATCAGTCGTTGGATCGACAGGATTAACGTATGATATTTGTGGGGCGGCTAGCTCAGTCGAACGCAACTGTGTCATATAAGTTTCCGAAACAGGTTCTGGCGTTTGTTGGGTTTGACGTTGTGAGTAAGAGTGTAGCGGTGGATACTGCGTTGCCAAAACCGAACTGCCCGTGCTCGTTCCGTTACTTGTCCACATATACGGAGAAGGATGTCGTAATACTGAATTTTGTTCCGGAAACATGGAATCGTTCTTGGTAGTCACACTAGAACTTACATTACCCAGTTCATAATAATATTTCCCACCACAGCGTGAAAGAGAGCAGCTGGTTGTCGTTTCACCAGAGCAAGTCTGCAGTATTCGCGGGAAGGCCGGAAGCGATGTGGTCATTGGAGGAACATGGACATTTGTCCGAAACCCATCTACTACGGACGAACTACTGGCAGTTGATGTAGTCCTGTGAAGATAGGTGAAAGAGTCATTCGAAGATGTTGTTTTCTGATTTGAACTGTTTTCGAGTATAAAATCCAAATCCAGCAAACTCTCATACTCTGTACTTGATGCGCTGCTCACCTGTTCCAACCCAAAACTGCTTCCAACTGATGAACTTTGATCAGATGCCATGGGTGATACCAAACCAGAGAGGTTATAACTGTGAGAGCAGATCGTCTGCAAAACAAACGAAAGCGAATTCGGGGTAGGTGGTGACAGTGGTGAGGAGAACAGTGGAAAAATAAAACTGTACTGCAAAACACGGTCCACGTAATACTTGTCAAAATGACCGGCACGTTGACATTGAAGGTACAGATTCAGCTGAATTGGGTCGAACCTGAATCGTTCAACCGACAACCTTCAACGGACATTACTCGACGGAAATTCGATTTTCTGGGCTGGAACAAACTTGCTTTATTATTAATACTGTTACTATTATTGTTATTATTATTGTCATCATTCCGTCTCCGCCACAACTATAATCAAGCAACGGTTTTTGAAAATCTCCCAGTGCAGTTGGATGTGTTCTACAGAATCAGCATTTGGAGTAGTGCTCACTGGATTGTTCATCATTCACCATCAGTTCGGTTTGGGGTTCATTCGTTAGGCTCAATCCTGAAATCTGTCTTCCGTACATGCACTTCAAACTGGAGATGTGTGAGTTTTGTAATCGTACTAGTAAAAAAAACTCAAACGAACTTCAAATGGATTTCTCATTGTTGACAAGCTATGATAGATAGAAGCTACGCGAGTATTCAAGGTATCGGAGCACTTACCCGACAGCTGACTATCGGTCTGGCCTATGTGAAGCCCTTCGTAACAGCCCTAATTTGATTAAGAACGGTCTTGAAGTGATGATTTGAAGAATGATGTTTGTAAAAGCTCAAAGGTTTGTTTCGAGTAAGTCTATACCAAAATTGTTAGAAGCACTTGCAAAGCAAAGCAGTGAACAGTCGTCAAGCTGAAGCGCGGCTAACTGATGATATAAAACAATAGACCATTTGCGTAACACCACCGACCAATTACGCACTCCATAAACACAGATATTAAGCGTGCACACAGCAGTAGCTGACGTATGTCTTGCACGTGTGAACAAGGACTGTGTTGGCTACAGTGCTGCCGTGTAGACGGCACCGAACTAGATATGGTCCTTACAGAAACCCATTTCGTTTTGAGAAGAACGCAACGATGGAAATGAACCAAGAGAAAACTGGCGGACGAGATATTCATTGGAGAATATTCCAAACGAACAGCAAAACCTGATTCTTTCATAAGAAAGCCACACAAGTTTGCTGAACTGAGCATAGCCATGTGTGATTGTCAATCTTCCAGTTGACCAAAAACAGTAAACTGCAAGTTTACCCAGGCTTTAGTGAGGGTCCAATTTATGGTTTATTTGAGGCATATGGCGCTGATGTAACCTTGTACTCCGCTACTGAGTTCGTCCAAGGCTAACTTCAGTAGCTGGTCATAAGACGAGATGGATTTGAGCCGCGACATCTGAAGTTACTCAGATTCTTGAGAATACAGAACTCCCTAACAGGCACGTAGAAGTTGAGCGTGACTGAAAGTAAACGGTTTACTAGCCCAACTGGTTAGTGATTCATGCCATATGGATCAATTTTTAATGCGCAGTCACCTGTCACTGGAAATATTCACCGACATCCAACGAAACACGTGAATTTTTGATGTCACCAAATATCTGTCGGAGTTGATCACAGTAATATCTGAGGTTCGTGATTGATAGACATTCGGATAAACTTGGGTTTCTGATCAGAGGTTGGCGTCTCAGACCCGTATTAGACCATTCCAGGTTTACTGTGCCCATCACTTTCCATCCCTACCTACGCACTAAGATCTCCGGATGTCCACCCGGGGTTATCGGAATGTTCCATGTCGAGAATAATGAGGCGTGATTGGGATCAATTTAGTTGTGGGGTGAGGAGCTGATCTGACCGGGAGTCGTGAGTCGTAAGGATTGAAATGGACTCATGACTGACGACCACATTTTTCTCAAAGTTCCGGTAGCCAAAACGATATCCGAGCCTTTAGTCCGTCGAACTCGAGACAACTCTATGGTTAAAGCTCGAGCTTACTGATCGGAAGGTCTGCGGTTCGGCTTTTTCTGTCTAGGATTGGTAAACCTGACAGTGCGTCAATGCTCTTCCTTACTTCAGGTGGCTCTGTACCGGAAGATTATTTCAGCTGAGCGATTATTATTGTTATTATTTGATTGGGAATATGAAAAATACCCCACCCTAACAGAATACGGAATGTTATCAACGGATTCCAACGTTTTCTGTGAACATCATCAAGTTGAAAGTCTAATGAAGCGCAAGACTGAATTATACGAATACAGGCTTTCAAAGGCCTCAGCCTTACTGATGAATGGTAGAAACTAGTAAACTTGTTATTCGCGTCCTACTGAAAAATCCGAAAGAAGTGTTTTACTGCAAAATACATGCTTAGAATATCTTATCCCTACTGTACGGTGGAGTTGTGAAGTGAAAAGCTGAAGGTGGATGTTGCGTGCTATTGCAACACGGACAGCTTACAAAACTCCCATGTCACTCCATCGCATATCCTATACCCACTTTCATGAACCCAACACTCGGGAACATCATCATTATGTGCAGAATAGGGCTGCCTGACTAGAGAACAGCTCAAAATCTGGATTGAAAGTGCCAATAACCCGGGACTACCTACTTCCCGGGGAATGCGTCGATGAAACTGAAATCGGTTGACACTTTGCGCTAATTTTGCTAGAGATGGTTTTTCAAAAACATTATCTAGTCGAACACATTTCTACATGGGAAACGGGTGCCATGAAGTGCATCAATATGAACAATTAAAACATCAGAGCACTCGTGTTTGAACTATCCATTTAGCTTACTTTACCGGATGGAGCAAGGACCAGACGGAGGAGAGGTCATGTACACGAGATGCTCAAACATAACGGCATATTAACACAACCTCGAGTATCAGTAGAGAATAAAATTTGTCGCACAAGAGGTAGACTGCGACCCTACCGCGGTCTTGACCCACAGGCTTATATTAAAACATTTCCTACAGTTGAAACTCTTAGTTCCATAAGTTCATTGCATATCATGTTGAAAACTCGCTGTTAATGAACTGAACAACCTTAGTTGTTGGCCTGCCCGCCCAGACAGTAGGCTCTTCATCACCAATTGAGGTCATATCTTCAGTGCTGGATTGAGTGGGTTGGGTTAAGAGTGACCTAACTTAACTCATATGAAGGCAAATGAATGGTTAATTTACGAAGATTAACAACTGGTAACAAGCGCCCTGGTTTGGATGTGATCATCAGCCTGTACCGTGTAAAACTCTTAATATTCGTTAAAAGCCAGACAGTACATATTAGCTTTGCATGGCGCCAGACCTTTTTAAAATGATCGGACGGAGATAACGCCAGGCGCCTTCATACAAATCCGACTTTAAAAAATACATTTGATTGCCTTCTTTTTTTTTACTAACGCCTATACGACCGTGTCTAACCAAAACGAGTTTCGCGATATTTAGACAAGAGTCATTACGGGGAGAGTAATGTAGAGCAATAAGCCTAGGAAAGGGGGAGGTTGAGAGCAATGTACATTAAAAAAAATCATATCAGCTTGTGCAACTGAAAAATTGTCTTCTACCTGTCCATTTCCCTAAATGTATTTATTTTCGAACAATGACCTTGAAGGGAACAGCGTTCTGGATACCAGTAAATAAGGAACAAGATGAGAATTTGGTGTTTTTGAGGTTGGGCAATTTGTTTATAAATACAAGAACTTAAAGGAATATTGGGTGTTTGTAGCATTGACTAAACAACTAGACTAAGCTGTGTTAAGTACATACTCTGTTGGCAGATCTCACGACCTTTCGTCTATACTTGAATCACAGAACCACTCCTTTTGGTGGGCCGCTTTGTTAGGTCATTAGGTACCACCTTTAGCCAGTATGGCTAAGATTCAAACATTTAAACTTTCAAACGCCCTATCCACTGTAGTTTGGCTAAATCAGTTTACACTGCAGTTGCTGTTCCCATTCCCAGATCTCTGAAAATTATTGCGCTTCTAATCGACATAAAACTGAAAAATTTCCAGTCGGTGCAGTGGCAAAGTTCTCTGAGTCGGAACTAGTAGAACTTTTAGGGAGTTCCTGTAATGAAAGAACATATCGGAGAAGATATATACCAGTGTGTGAACACAGCGTATAAAAGCGGTATATGTTTGGCCACTGTGATTTGTTCTTCACTCTAAGAAAGACGGTCCTTTCCAATACCCACTACCCAACTTGGATAACGCACAAGGCATTTTTACCTACAACTTCTGGTCTTCAAAGTGGTAGTCAGATTATTCCGTATCCACATCACTTTTTTTCTTCTTCCCCGGTGGGATTACTCTGGATTACTCTGCACATCAAAGAGAAGAATCTCATGAATGGCGCCTGTTCTCAGCAAAACCTGGAACTACTCATAGGTAACCAAATCCTTCGTCTTTCTGGGTAGAACTTCGCTGGCGATCGCCACAGCCACACTATCCAATATTTCATCTAGTAACCACGTCACTGCAACGGTTAATGACGATAGAAGAAGTAGATTTCGTTTATGATATCTCAAAGGACGATGATCGTATGCCAGCCGTAGAAGTGCTCGCATTTGAATGTTAGACCCGTTCTGGTGCATATAGCTTTGACGGCTTCTCCCAACACCGAACACCGATGTCGGATTGAGGCATCTTACTCTTCTTTCTTAAGGAATTCACGTTTATAGGTCGAACCCCAGGTTTATGTCTTTCACGCACTATTGCGTCGTCTTCTTCCTGAATCACGTCACCAGACATCCTGTTTATCATCTACTAAGAGCAAGTATCTAGTTCGGAGAGTACCCAACAACTATTCACAGCGCCAAAGCCTTCACTGGGCAACTAATACCACTGCAAAAGGTAAACCTGGGCGGGAAGTTACGACTGTATCTCCCAATAGCCAGTACAGTTGAGGCGAGAACTGGAACATGAGGCGGTTAGTAGCGCCTGACAAGCAAGGATATATTTACTTTTGCCGCAGCCCATTTAAATCCCAGGAAAAGATACTGTTATGCTCTAGAACGGAGTAGCAATTTGAAAAGGGATTCACAAATGTCACTGGCTTTTTGACGAAACCTATTCGATGGCGAGGAGATGAAGTTTTACATACACGAAATGAATTTTAATCGGACAACCTGGTTGCTATTTCTATCCAGGGACTCGATGGTTATTTCACAATCTCGCCATCAGAAGTACCGGAATGCCAGATGCTTCGTCGACCACTTCGATCAAATGTAATAGTTTGGTGCAATATGATGAAGTTCACAATGATATAATCGTTGTACAGTGTGTATGGATTACTAATCTGCAGTGAACACTGAGCGACTGCACCTTCTTACACCTGTAATTCGACAACGTAGATATTGGCATTCAGTTCAGTACGGTGTCCTAACGAATGTGCCCATCTGCAAAAAAATTAAATTTTCAGGCCTGGGTGAGACCATCCCACACATAATTCCCTCGAGTATGTGACCTGAGTAGACTTACTAAGGTTCTGAGTTCATTCGACTTAAACAGTAGAGCAAATCAATATATGAATGGTTTGCTGGATAAATTTTTAGGTAGCAACAGTGCATGGTGAAAGAAAATGTGCGCATGTGAGCAACGCTTTTGTGATGGTGGAATGAGGACTCAAATTATGAACGACAGCCAGTCTCAAAGATCAGCTCGTGAACACATCAACGTGAGCGCTGTGAGTTCTTTGGTTAATTGTTACAACAGAAGCTTTTTGGGTCGAAGAAATCCCATTCGACTCTATGGCAAGAAACACGACAAACAACGCGTTTAAATTTGAGTGAATTATCAAGTAAACGCTGTGGTAGCCAAGCTACATAATGCGAAAATTTTAAGTTTCAACTTGTGGTGTTACCACAGATCTATCCAGTTTACTTGTTTCCTTATTCCCCACTACCGTAAGTAATATACGGGCATAATTCAAAGTTAGGCTTATGCACCTTTACGCCTTATACTGCCTTTGACAAAAGTGTTCATGCATCAGCCATTCTTCCAAGGTGCGGCCTCCACGTTCTTTAGAAATGCCCCCAGGCTCGGGAGACGGATCGTTTTGGTTTTCTCCTACATGAAGATGCAGCTTGCTACCAGTACTGACCGCACGTTTGTTGCCTGTCAAGGTCGTCGTTTAGCAGAAGCACTCACCAGCTCCCTGAGCTCCATGTTTGATTGGAAAAACCGCTCTGTTCCATAGATGATGAACGATGAGTGGATTCTGAATTCACTCAATCTGAGTTTTTTCAGTAGTAATTGATTTGGATGAAGATAGAACAACGTTTGCTGCATTCGACTGATTCACGGAATGGAGCTGATGTGCTGATGCACACCCAAATGGTTTGGAAGAGCAAGGGAGTTGCATTTGGGAATCAAAAAGTCAGGCTCTCTACAACGATGATGATGCGTAGCACCATCTTCGAACCATCGGAGAATGAGTTAGTTTCTTACGATAAATCAATGAAACTTACTTCACTTTTAGCATAGAGTGAACGAAAAGTAGTTCCATAAGCAACAGAATCTAAGAGGCACTCGAAATTAGCCACAAATTTTCCACAAATCCCCCATTCTGCTTAGTTTCAATCGACCATAGGCAGAAATATGTATGTGAATGCATGAGAATGCGCGGGCAGAAAATAGAAGAAGAAGAAGAAATTTAGTAATGGCGCTAAGCTCTGATAATAACTTAGTTCACAACGTCTACAATTATTGGTAGTTCCCTTGCGGCAGCCCTGGAATATGTAAATGTGCCATATCACCTCAGCTTGTCCGAGAACGACTGTAAAGTATTCGTCAACCGTAGCGAGGTTAGTAACACCAGAATCCATTTCCGGTAATAAGAGCATCTTCCATTAGACCCAAATATGCATACAGTT